GGTCAATTAGGGATTCATTGAAGCATACATTTTGACTAAAGTGGCCTAAAATTTTGCTTTCAACTGCAAGGCATGTTGTGCTTGCCATTGTTCTGCTTCTTTTAAATAACAAATGAGATTTCACTCGATTCTTGGAAATGGAGGAAAACTGAATTACATGAAAAACTATTCTGTTCTTAAAAATTATAGAAAAGGAAACCCAAAATGTAAGTCAAATATATTACTAAGATTGTTTCCACATTGCACAGTAAATATTGTCCTATTTAGTGTTTTCCCATCACATTAAATAAACTGAAAACTTAACATTGTGTGCATTTGCAGGTTTGAACATCCTTTTGTTCTTTGTGTTAAATTGAGCATAATTAGAATACCTATTCTTAGAAAGTTGCATGTCTGAGGGAGGCAAAATTACGTTCTCTTGTTTTAAAGAATGCTAAGACCATTTGCCAGTTGGAATTCCTGAATTCTGTTAACTGCAAGACTGCCGTTTAGTGGCATAGTGCAAAATCTTCTAGTAAATCCAGAATTAGTAGGAGGGATGCTTCAGCTTGTAATCTCCAGTAGAGTTCTTAATTTGGACTACGTAGCACTAGATAGGTGACAAATAAATTTAATAATAATAACAAAATACAAAGACCTGCAAATTGTAATAGAACAACTGTGGCAAAAGCACACAACAGTAGCCCCAATAATTGATAGCCTCGAGTACCACTTGAACACCATCAGCATTGAGAAATTCGCCATCAGTCAATTGCAAAAGATGGCTTTACTTGGAATATCTTACATCCTGTGACTATATCTATAACACCATCAACCTCCACATCTGTCTATCCCAGGTCCTTGAAAAGGACCCGATGGGTAGACAAAAATGCCAAATATGGTCTGAACATCTGGCTGACTGTACAACGAACTATTACAATAATAATATATAAACTAGGAGGCTGGATTTGATCTTGGACTATCTGCACGAAGTTGAAAAGGCAGCATTACTGGGTGGATGAGTAAGGTCTCTGATGAGTTCTATCTTCTTTCCCAGGTTTCAAATAGGTTTTGAAAAACATACAAAAGGTTGTATTTGGTTGATGCACATTCTCTTTAAGTCCAGAGTATGGGATATGCAAAACAGTAATAAGTGGTATGGATGGCTTCTTTTCAGTTTTCTGATTGTTTTATATCTGTAGAAGACAAGATAAACTATATAACCAGGGAAGGCCCTTAATAGTAAAAGTTGTTAGTTTTCTGTAATACATACTGTCACAATTTCCAGTGTAGGTCACTTCTGGGTATTTCAAACATTGTACAATATTTTGATGTATTATGTAAATAACCTAAGCAAAAAGGAGCGTTTTGTAGTGAAATATAGCTTTGTGCTGTTATAAGTGTAGAAAATATGATAAGACAAAATAAATGAGTCTGAGCCAACGGTGGAAGTGAATGCCCATAACAGAATTTCCTCTCAGTTCACACTTGTCATATGTTAGTAAAGAGGATCAAATATGAAAATCTCATGTGTTTACTATCTATTACTACAAGAGTATAGAATTCTTTCCTAGTCTCATTAACCAGTAACTTGAATCCATCACATTTAAAGACGGAAAGCAAAATAATCTCAGAAGACACTCATAGGAGAGAAAAGTCTCTTTTTCAGACAGTGTTACTGTCTGGCTCTTACATGTTCCACTATAGATATCATAACTAACATAACAGACTTGTGGGAATCTTTTTTCTTATTCCTAAAATATTATGAAAATCATAATACTTTCAGAACAATATAAATCATTTCATATGGCCACTAGCTGCGGCCTTAAAAGCATGATTGACTTATGATCAGCACTAGATGGGGGAGGAATTTGTGGTAATATAATTATTTCCTCTCTAAGTTTTTATAGTGTTTATCTAAAGCCAAGGACATTACAGTTTATTCTCAGATTAAGAAGAGAGCTTTGCCATTTTTCATCCCATATCTGTTGTTCTTATAGCAGGGTTTTATCCCTTAGTCTGACTATTGTTCCATCTTTTGTACTTAAATTTAAATGTCTTGTTGGGCAGTTGATAATGCTTGAGGGCAAATTAAATGGCTAATTTTATGAGTTGTAAATGTGCTGCAATATCAGTGACTTTTAAATGCAAGATAGCATTCAATCTCACTTGTAAAAGAAGCGGGGCTTTATTTTGGTTCATTTGCATTAGCCAGGCAAAGTTTATAAAATGAAAAGCCTGCCATTTATTTTAAAATGATCCACTTAATGGTATGGGCCATTGTTTTAGGTACTACATCATATATATAGACGTAGATACAAATAGAGCCTTCTCTTTTTAATGCTTTTTGTCTCAAAATATTCTGATGGAGTTACACCTGTTAGCTATTAGTCAGTTAACTGGGCCTTTGATTAGGAAATTAACTTTTTAAAGAAATTAGCAAATGACCTAGAGTACAATGTTTGAATGGAATGCTAAATGAGTCCTAGATAGGACTCTAAGGAAGAGCCAATTGAATAATATTCAGCGAATTTATTTGTGTAGAATCTTTTCCTCTACTTTTAAAAAATCAATTATAGGTAATCCACGACTTGCAACGGTTCATTTAGTGACCGTTCAAAGTTACACCTGTACTGAAAAAAAGTGACTTCTGACCAGCAAAGTCAATGGGCAAGCTAGATTCACTTAACAACTGTGTAACTAATTTAACAACTACAGTGATTCACTTAACAACTCTGACCAGAAAGGTCGTAAAATGAGCCAAAACTCACTTAAAAAAGGTCTTGCTTAGCAACAGAAATTTTGGGTTCAGTTGTGGTCATAAGTTCTATATTCGTGTTAGATTTTCTGACTACCATTGTATTGATGTTAACCACAAACAAAATACGTAAGGGTAATGTATTACATTTTAAAATATTTTTCAGCTTTTTTGTCATAGAGTATGCAATAGAAAGTAATCCAGTAATTCAGCAGATTAATTTTCAATATTGTGTAAAAAAAACCCTAAAATTAAAAAAAAAACCTCTTTAAGGCAGATTTGACATGTTTAAGAACTATATCTCTTTGTAACTAGTAGCAATAATCACAAAGTAAAGCTCATGTATAAACTCTGTTTATGAAAGAATAGTTCTTTCTGTGATGCTACCTATCTCACATTTCCTTCCATATATCCTGCACAAATTTATTTAACTTAGCAGAAACGAAAGAATGTAGTTTATATTTTTTAGAAACAGAAAAAGATCATATTTGAAAGAAAAAGATGAAATAAGTCAAGATGTAAAAATTGTTTATTTTCACATGATGTGAGAACAAATAATGTGTGGTCCAATCAATAATATATAGATTTCAGGACTGTTGTGGAGCTGGCCAAAACAATGAATACTTGACATACAAATTCAAGTGATCTTTGGAAATTATGTTTACCTCTGAGCTCAGTTTTCTGATTTGGCTGCAAGTGGCACAAACTTTCACAGTGTGGTTTGAATTAAATACACTTGCTTTCTTTAAAACGAATCAAATCTTTCTGCAGTCACAAAAACTTTGTAAAATAGCTTTAACACTTGCAATTTTCATATTCTTGTGATTTTCCCCATTTCTTCTTGGTTGTATTTGAGGTACTGGAGAAACAATTAACTGAACGGATACTATAGGAACATTAGTTTAACTTTCTTGATGTGGTCACATTAGAATGGACACTTATCCATTCTCTTGCCACAATAATATTAAACCAAAAGCTTAAACATTTGAAGGACCCCAGATAGTGGGTGTAGTATAATGGCTAAAGTAGTGGACTAAGCAGGGAAAACCAGATTTATATCAACCCTTGACCATTATAGGTGATCGAGCAGCTTGGATCACTTACTCTCCAGCCCAATCTACCTCACAGAGTTGCTATTGGAAATAGGAAGAGCAAGCGTTGACCTCTGTTTACAGAAAAAGGGAAATAAATAAGCAATCTCAGTCATTTTATTTATTCTTATTGTATCTTTGGGTGTCCGTGTGTGCAGGAATATGCAATGTCACCTAATAGTTCTTGGTGCCTGAAAAGGTTGTCACCCTGCAATAACATAGTGACAATTGTCATCCAGGAAGGCCTGATGACTCAAACAATTTGCCCCACAGAAAACTGAATGTGGAACTGGATTCCCTTTTTTCTGAACTTTCAGTTTTTCGCTCTTGTAGTAGCTTCCTTGCTGCACAGTGATATCCTTATTTCAGCTGCTACATTTTTTTGAAGGTGAATAGGTTTGCTCTGGTTCTGAAGAAAGTGGAATATGCCTAGATAGAAATAAGCTTTGAAATAATGTACAGTATATTTCAATTTTAGTTCTTTTTTATTCAATAACTTGTAGGTAATGTTCTAAACACAGCTTCACTTAAGTATTATCTATACAATATAGCTGTTATTATAGTTCTGATTCATATAGAACAGTGGGTCTCAATCTTCCTAATGCCGCAACCCTTTAATACAGTTCCTCATGTTGTGGTGACCCCCAACCATAAAATTATTCCTAAAACCATTGAAAATATGTGTTTTCCGATGGTCTTAGGCGACTCCTGTGAAAGGGTTGTTCGACCCCCAAAGAGGTCCCGACCCACAGGTTGAGAACCACTGATATAGAATGACTGTTATATGTCTGGTCAAAATAGATTGCTGTTTTGTGTTAATTTTTATTTATTTAATTTTATTTATCACTTTAATGTGTATTCCAGGGACAGTTTTTCTGTGATGTACAGCAGAATTGTCTGCTTTATAAACAAAAGAGTAATGCAACTTTTAAGTCAGTATATTTGTGTACATTTATATAGTAAACAATATTGAATTTACATGTAAAATGTGTTTGTGGGAAGGGGATTTAGTATATATTTTAGAAGCGTAACATCGTATAGTAAATATATATATATAGAGAAAGAGGCACTGTGGAACAGTATTGATTTCTCTAGCAAATTGACTTCCATAATGTTTTAAAATAGTTATTCACTAAAGTGATTATTGTTCGTTTGCTTGTTTTTCTATATAGGACATGGCTTTTACTTTGGAAGAGAGACAGCAGCTTAATATTCATGGATTACTACCTCCCTGTTTTTTCAGTCAAGACATGCAAGTTTTCATCGAACTGAAAAAATTTGAAAGACAAGCAACTGACCTGGATAGGTGAAGTCTTCAAGGGGCATGCTTATTTACCTTTCTACTATGGGGGGAGTTTTTATAAACACCTCAGTTCAATTAGCTACAAATTTTTCATGCTTTCCCTCTCTTTCATTCACTGTTCCAGAACTCAAGGTTTATGCATCTTAATTTCTGGTTCTCTTCCAGGATCATATATACAAATATACTGCACCATGCCTGTTTTCCTGCTTTTGCCTGTCATGCTTGTTGTGACATCTTTGTTTCATCCTTCATTTCCTCCCATATTTTCTTCCTTCCTGCTTTCAGGCTTTTTTTCCCCCTTTTCATTTAAATATTTTTGCATCCTTTTTTATGAAAATACAATAGGTCTGTTCTTTCTTTGAAGCAACAAGATGTGTTTCATTCACCATTTCTACATCTTGATAAACTTTATAGCTTTGTGTGGCCTCTACAGGAAATAAGGCCAAATAAAAGCAAATTATTAGAAGATATATTTCCTCTTTGAAATACTATTGGCTGTCCATTTTGAGAATTAAATTTCAAAGAATCAGAAGGAATTTTTGTGGTCAAGTAGGGAGAAGCATCTTTAAGCATTGTGTCACTAATTCCTGAACAGATGAATCAGTTTATAACTAGTCGCAATCAGTTTTGCATGTTTGCATAGAGGTTGCGTGACGGTATTTATTTATTTATTTATTTAAATTTATATACCGCCCTTCTCCTGAAGGACTCAGGGCAGTGAACAGCCAAAGGTAAATACACAAAATACAAAAATTTAAGAACAGTTTAAAAAACATATTAAACAATTTTGGCCCAACAATTAAAATACCCCTTTTAAAATTCAAATTCAAATTAAGCAATTGCAGAAGTTAGGCCAGCCCAGCTTGTTGAAATAAAAAAGTCTTGAGAGCCCGGTGGAAAGTACCTAAATCCGGAATCCTCCGTATCTCCGGGGGGAGCTCATTCCAGAGGGCAGGTGCTCCCACAGAGAAAGCTCTCCCCCTGGGACCGACGGCACCCTGAGGAGCCCCTCTCTGTGGGAGCGTACTGGCCGGTGGGAGGCTCTCGGTGGCAGAAGACAGTCTCGTAGGTACCCAGGTCCTAAGCCATGGAGTGCTCTAAAGGTGGTCACCAACATCTTGAATCGTACCCGGAGGACCACCAGAAGCCAGTGTATGAGGAAGTGTTTGAGAGGTACTGTGCAAATCAAGAAAGATGTGCGAGTGGCCAATGTGGTATGAGTGTAGAAGGGATGAGGGATGAGTGGGTGGAGAGACCCCAGAGACATGCAACCTTCCCTGTTACCTTCTCCACTGATTTTCTGGGGAAGCCAGCAGGAAGTTTGTAAATAATGATCATGTGATCCTGGAGCACTTGACAACCAGTCATAAATGCAAACAGGTTGCCAAGCACCCAGATTGCTATCATGTGATTGCGGAGGTGCTTGGACAGCCAGAAATCTGATGACTAATCATAATCACCATTTATTCAGTGCTGTCATAACTGGGAATCATCACTGATTGAATGATGATAGGTTGACGGCTAATTGTATGTATGCATGTGGTATATTATAATAATACTAAGTATTTGTAAAAGGCTTTAATTTTTTTAGCCCATCTTAGAAAATAATTAAAAATATCTATCCATCAGGTTTAGTACATAAGATCTAGATTAATTCCAAAAGCAAAAAATGGTTCCTATAAAATTGAATCTAAACATACAGATCAGCCAAAAATAGCAAACAAAAAATTCCCAAACCATATGCCAATTTCACATGCATATTTTTGATTGAGGAGTCAAGTATGACAATCAAGAGAAAGTATAATTACTGATAAGGGAATCTGACCAAACATTTGAAACTTTGCCTGCTAATTTTCTACCCCATAGGGAAATATTAGAATTAGCTGAAAGATTATTTGTGATTGTAATGCAAGTTAAATATATAACATGCAGAAAACCATTAGTGCAATAACATTTAATAAAACATAAACTAGAGATGCAAAAGTTTATGTCTTTAAAATGATTTACTGTGAAAGACCTCACACAGATTGGACCTCCCAAGTGTTTGATATGATTATAATAAATAGCAAACTTAACTAAAATCAAAGTTGCACACTTCCTTCAATCAAGTTTAAAAGCTTTTAAATGTAACTTCTGAAAGAGCAGCAGATTTCCCCTGATCAAGTTCATGAATATTTGTTTCTTTTTTTTTTTTTTACCTTTTTACCTCCAAAAGCAGGACTGGTGGGGAAAAGCAAGGGCAAGCATGAAAGAGCTGGAATTTCTCACTTTCTGTTTTATTTGATTCCATTCCAAGCTCTGGAAACAACAATAGTTAATAATAGTTATTATTAGTGTAAGTAATAATCACACGTCTGTTCTTTTCTCTCTCAAATATATTTCCTCTCCTCCATAGAGATATGAGTTTTGAAAGAGAATAAGGAAGGGCAGGCAATTTTATTACTATTAATAAAAGCTAGTTAGCTGACTCAGCTGTGCTAAATTAGATTGGCATGTCCAGAATTTCACTTCCGCTTCTATTTCGGTTATCTCTTGTTGGTTGCAAGCACTGCTCTGAGATCAGCTTCTGCTTTTATAAACATCCACTCCCACATCAGGAAAATGATTCCATGAGCCTTGTGAAATATTTTTTTAAATGAGTTGGAATCCTGCCTTACAATTTTTACTCATATTTTTCACTCTTTGCTTTTTTTTTTTTAAGTGGGGACTGTTAATTAAAAAAAGATCCGTTGTCAAGGACAAAGGGTATCGGGGTGAAATGCTTCCAGTTCGGACCAGATCACCCGATCGGGTAGGGGTGGCAGCGGGTGGTTCGGAGAACTGGTAGCAAAAATCCCTGCCTCCCCCCCATGCCCAGCTGAGCCACACGATCATCAGAGGCTTTTTTTTTTTACTTTTAAAAGCATTTTTTCTACAACCTCTTCGGCCGAAAAAATGCTTTTAAAAGTAAAAAAAAAGCCCCTGATGATTGCGCGGCTCAGCTGGAATCCTCAGAGGTTTTTAAAAGCATTTTTTCTACAACCTCTTTGGTCGAAGAGGTTGTAGAAAAAATGCTTTTAAAAGTTAAAAAAAAAAAAAAGTTGGCCATGCCCACCCAGTCACATTACTCCCCCCCACCAAGCCACGCCCACAGAACCAGTATAACAAATTTTACATTTCACCACTGAAGGATATGCATGGGTAGCTTGGTCTTGAGACATTACATATGTAGACATCTTAAAGACATATTATGCCATTGCCTTTCTGGAAGCAGAATGTAGTGCCCCAGGGTTCTGTTATAGGATTTTCAACTATTCTTCAGGCTCTTCTCTCTTGGTACTTCCGCAAAACCAATAACAAAAGGAATGATGGGGATATCGTGATGGATGTGAAGAGCCTATGTCCCTTTGCTTAAATGCCAAGCCACATCAACTGGTTTGGAAAGGGTGCTATATACCCAATACCTATCCCCAAAGTATTTTGTAGACTGGATGTGATACACAGGAAAAACCTGTTACCTTCAAAATAACGACAGAGAGTTGATAGACAAGTTAAGATTAGTTTTATTCTTTGCAAAGGTCCTTCTCAGAAAGAGAGAAGGCAAATTATGGTCTCTTTCTTACCATCTTATATACAGTTTTCAGATTACATCGTTACACCGTACAGGATACAAGCATGTCCCTGGAGTACAATTTCAGATCTTATATAACAAGTTTAGCATTTGTTTTGCCCCTGTGGAAAGTCCCCACATTTCCAGTATAAAAATACCCCACTTAAAGTTAAGAAATGGAATAAAATTCCTAACTCCATATATGGCTTTCTGGTAGTAGAAAGATCATTTAGTAGACTTTTTCCTCATACCTTACTCAAAACATCGTTTTTACAGAATCTGCCATCAAATAAATGAACAGAAGAAGAAAATAAAATGAGACCTTTAAGCAGAAGCAGCTGGTTATAGAGAATGAAGAATTTTTTTTTTAAAGGGTAATTGTTCAGAAAAAGTCTATGTTTCAGATTTCTGGCTGCCATGCATGCTTAAACAGTTTGGCATACTTTAGATTAGGCGATGGGTAATATATTTTCCACCTGTTACTTTCTTTTGGAAATGAAATGAAATGAAATGTAGATTTTAAAGAAAAAAAAGGTTTGACCAGCAAATGGTGTAGCATTCAAAACCAGGGATTATTAAATTCAGGTACTTTAGAATGATAATCCTCCTGAAATTGAGTGAGACATTTGTTAAATGAATTTTGCCCCTTTTTATGACCTTTCTTGCCACAGTTAGCTAATCACCATAGTTGATAAGTTAGTAACATAAATAATGGTTAAATGAATCTGGCTCCCCTATTGATTTTGTTTGTCAACAGGTTGCAAAAGGCGATCATGTGACTTTGGGACACAGCAATAGTCATAAGTATGAGTCAGTTGCCAAACACCTGAATTTTGATTACATAATCATGGGTATGCTACAAAGGTCCTAAGTGTGAAAAATGGTCACAAATCACTTTTTTCATTGCCTTTGTAACTTTGAACGGTCACTAAATGAACTGTTTTAAGCCGAGGTATCTAGATTTATAAACATTAGGATTCATTTGTAACTATTGTGAGTTGTGATTAGCGTATGATCTTCTTCACTACTAGGAGTGGAATTTAAAGGCACAGGAAGAAGCAGGTTTCTTTAGTTTGCTCTGTGATCAGGTAATTTATCTGGAGACTACATATGTGGAGCTGCTTGTGGAAGAGTAATCCTTTGGGGGCTATTTTAATAGATTGCAACAGTACTTCCTCCTCTGAACAGAAAAACAATGCTAAGCTTCTGTAGATGGATAAAATATTCACATGAAACTATATCTAGCTTTACGTTGATGTGGCTTGTAAAAAAAATGATTCAAAAGTATTATTTAGGATTACGGAATACCCTTTTGTCATATTTTATTTCAGTCAGATCATAAAAGTAAAAATAAGATTATGTGGGGAGCACAGCTCTTACTTATTTTTGTGGTCCACCTTCTCAATCAAATTGGGAATAACCTATTTAGCCCATTCAAAACTGAATCCTTGACTTTCTCACAGAAATAATCCCCCCCCCAGTTTTTTAGATTCTAGAAGTGTGTTACAGTTTGATGCACTACAATGTTATGTTTCATTTTTCAAACAATATTCATATTCTTAATCTAACACACTCTGTCTCTAAAGATGTAGAATGAATAACAAAATAAATGATATATATGCTAAATAATTTCACATTTGCTACAGATTCACTAGCTTCACTGGTGATATAGTAATAAGCTTTCCACCAGAAAGAAGCATTTTCCATAGGTAAAAATAACTCTAATGGGAAAACAGTCTCTGTTTTATACCTTTTTTACACTTAATTTACTTCAGAGCTACATATGGAAATCTGTCTAATTTATAATTCATTTTTCACAGGTATATTTTGCTAATGGGTCTTCTGGATCGAAATGAAAAACTCTTTTATAAAGTGCTGACTTCTGACATTGAAAGATTTATGCCTATTGTTTATACTCCCACTGTGGGTCTGGCATGCCAACAATATGGTATAGCATTTCAGAGACCAAGGTATGTAAGGTTATACTTCACATTTTAAGTAATTGTACATTTTTTCTTGCTTCATAAGTTTCTGCTTTTCAGCATAATTGAATGTAATCTAAGCCTGGAATAATTAAAATAATTCAAACTATGTTAAGTACACTTTGCAAAAATAAATCAATACTTTATTTTTTTTAAACACTTACAATAAAAAAATGTTTGGTTTAGATGGCTTTGCAGAGAAACTAAAATTGCCTAATGATAACAATAAAAAAACAAACAAGAAAAATCCAATCCTACTTTGATTTAAAAAATTGAAAATATATTAATATTGTTAATATGCTAACATCATATAAGAGTGGATTTAATCACAAAGAAAAAATTTCTGGAGCATATGTTATAATGTATTTTTCAGTAAAAATATTAAAACATAATTTAAAAAGGCAGTTAGACGCTATTACTACCATTGGCAAGATCAGGCAGTCTCTGCAGTTCACATTTATTTTTCTTCCAGTTGCAATGATAGCCAATTCTTTTCCAGAGCTTTCTCAGCGTTTATTTGATTAACATCAGTGTTTATAGCAATTCTCTTGATTTGCTTTTTAAAGGGTGATAAGCTTACTGAACTGCTTGACCCTTCCTAATATTAAAATACTATAGGTAGTCCTCGATTTATGACCACAATTGAGCCCAAAATTTATGTTGCTAAGTGAGATGTTTGCTAAGTAGTTTTACCCTCTTTTACGACCTTTCTTGCCAGAGTTGTTAAGTGAATCACTGCCGTTATTAAGTTAGTAACACGACTGTTAAATTAATCTGGCTTCCCTATTGACTTTGCTCGTCAGAAGGTCGCAGAAAATGATCACATGATCCTGGGACACTGCAACCTTCATAAATATGAGTCCGTTGCCAGGCGTCTGAATTGATCACGTGACCATGAGGATGCTGCAATGGTTGGAAGCGTGAAAAATGGTCATAAGTCACTTTTTTCACTGTCATTGTAACATCGGTCATTAAATGAACTGTTGTAAGTTGTGAACTATCTATATCAAGTCAGGATTTTTAGATTTTAACCTAAAGGGAAATAGGCTAAATTAATACAGGTAGTCCTTGACTTAGTTGGCAATTGGGACTGGAATTTCCTTCGTTAAATGAGGGTGTGTGCCGGGGTGGGTTCTACTTACCTTTACCACTGGTTCGCAACGGGATCGCATGAAACCTATAGTGAAAGCCCTAATGTAGACATAATGTAATAAAAAAACATCCCCTCCAACATGAAACTCCTCCCAAGTCCAAATGCACTGAAGTATTCTCCCACTGGGATGCGGAGTGGGTCAGAAGTGGGATGATCCAGCCCGTCTGGCCAATCACTGAGTCGGATAAACTTGGCCACGCCTACTCAGGCCTCCCTTCCTCCCAGTTTATTCGACTCAGTGGTTCTGACCAGTCGCTTCGCTGAGTCTCTCACTTCTGACGGAATTGGAGATCGTTTGTTGCTAGGGGGCTTTTCAGCCTGAACACTGTCTGAGAGACAGGGCTGCCTCCGTTGTCTCTTGAACTTCAAGGAAACGTGAGTTAAAAGATATTCCAGCCCCCATTCCTTTCTAGCGCTGTGCGTGCGGGCCATTTCAGTCCTCCTGGGCTGGAAACGCCGCCGCCGCGCTCCCCTGATAGCCGCCGCCCCAGCGCTCATCAGCTGGGGGGCGTGAAGATCGTAACGCTTCAGGGACCAGCGCCTTGCTTCTCACCGCTCGCCGCCCCGTTCCGCTGTCAATCTCCCTTCAGCGCTGATCAGCTGGAGGTTGGAGAAGCCGCGAAAGCCGGTAAATCCTCTGCCGTGCTGCGAGGGTTATTTCGGCTCTATTTGCTATCGCGGCTCCTCCCAGCCACCGGGGAAGACGGAGCTCGCATTTTCGCTGCTGTTGCTTTGGCGTGGGTGGTGTCTGACGCTTCCCCGCCAATTTCTGTGCCGCCATCTTTCTGCAGCCGTTATTTGCCGCCATTTCTGCGCGCCCTTTTCATCGGCTGCTGAGGCCTGTCTGAGTGCTTGGCTTGGTAAGCTTTGCACTGGCTTCAATATAAAAAAAAAAAAAAAAAAAAAAGGAGGAGAGACATTGAAAGCAGGTCTGTGTTTTTTGTGGACTTGGGGTATTTGGAATTTAATCCCAACTCTTGGTGGCCATTTTGTCTGACCCTGGATACCTGTTCCTGGGCAGCCATTTTATATCCAAACAGGGGAAAGAAAATTTCTTCGTTTGGTGATTTCATTGTGGCAGCGGCTTCCCTATTATTTGCTGGATTTATATAAAGTGGGAAATTAAATTTGCATACGCTGTCTCCCTGCAAAAATAATAATAATAATAATAATTGATATTTTACTAATGTCTTACCATTGTTCATTTGTGCGCAGATTTCCTGCTGTAGCACAGCCCATCCATCGTAATGGCAGACCAGTCATCTTCCAAGAGTGATTCTGGCCGTAAGGCCTCTGCAAAATCAAAACATACAAAAACGTCTCATCATCATTCTGCTGATATGGCTACGCATATTCTTACAGATAAGCCAAACCCGGAAGTCGGTCTCGATTCAGGGGTTGCAGAGGAGGTTGACCTGACCAAAGCCTTCTCCCCAGAACGACAGGACAGCCTTCATGGCTCTCCAATTAGACAGGAGGGGGACCCCTTTGATTGCTCTATCCCTGTTCAGGATCCTCCACCAAGTAATCAACCTAAGTCAGATCTGGAGAACCTTCCACAATCAGTTCAGATGTTAATTGCCAGGGCCATTTCTCATGGAATTCAAGCGGGCATCAGGGAGCATCGCTCTGCCTCTATTGTCTCTGAGAGTCTTCATTCCAGAAGATCAAGGGTTTCTCCTGATGCCAGCCTCACAGGGTCCCCTGATCACTCCCCGGTTAGATCCAGGGGCAGTGCTGATATAGAATTGGAGGATGAACCTCAAAGAGAGGTAGATTTGTCGGATGACGAATCCACTGCTCCAGACGTACCAGCCTTTACAGGGCTGTTTCCCCAGGGACTTTTTAAATCACTGCTTCACAAGGCCAAGGTAACCTCGGGCCTAGTTGACACTGATTCTGTCCCGTCATCTTCTGCCGCCTCCACCAGTCAGGGCATATTTTCTGAACCAGTAGCTGAGCAGCTATTTGTCCCGGCGCCAAAACTTTTCGCTGATGTGGTTCGTAAACAATGGACTAATCCAACTTCTCTCCCTACTCCTAGTGGCTACGATCGTAGAAATTACAACATGGATCCTGTCCTGACCAGTCTCTTGCAGGTTCCCGAGGTTGATGGCCCTGTGGCAGCGCTTTCCTCGTCGTCTCCTTTCATCTCGGGGGATACTTCTGAAGGACTTAAGCCAGAAGACCGTAAGTTTGACTCGTCTTTCAAGAAAGCCCACCAGGCTTCGGCTTGGGCGATTCAGGCTGCTACTGCGGCCTCATTCTTCTCACGGTCATCACTCCTGTGGCTCCAACAACTACAGTCCCGCTTACCAGCTCAGGATGCCAGAGTCCATCAGGACTTAAATAAGATAATAGCTGCTACACAGTTCACCTCGGATGCCACGCTAAATGCGGCCAAATTTGCCTCGCGGGCTATGGCTTCTTCAGTCACTTCCCATCGCCTTTTGTGGCTTAAACCTTGGCACGCTGACCTCAAGGCCAAATGGCGTCTAGCTTCTACACCATACTCTGGGCCTAAATTATTTGGGGCTTCCCTTGACCCATTATTAGTGGAGGACAGGGATAAAAGGAAGGTCCTACCTTCCATTACTAGACGAGCTGATCGCAGGGCTACCCCCTACTATCGCAGGCCACCGGCCCGTAATTTCTTCCAGGAGGGCCCCAGTCAGAGACCTTACTCCCAAGGTTCCTTTCGTCCCCAAGATAGAGGTTCCTACAGGGATAAATCCAAACCTTTCGCTCCTCAGAGACGGCCCTTTCGTGGAACTGGCGGACGTCAGTTCCGCCGCCAAAAGTGACTCTCGCTTGATAGCTCCTATTGGGGGGAGGTTGAGCCTGTTTCTCCCCGAATGGGCTCGCAGTACTACAGACCAATGGGTTCTTCATATCATCGAATTCGGCCTCCCATTGGAGTTCCTCTCCCGCCCTCCGAGCCGCTTCGTGCCTTGCCCTGTCTCCAGCTCCCTCAGCAAGCGAAATTTGATGGCGCTCGCCATTCAGCATCTTCTGGAGATCAATGCTGTGGAGGACGTCCCTCGGGAGCAATGGAGACAGGGGTTTTACTCGATTCTTTTCGTGGTTCCGAAGCGCTCGGGGGGATGGAGAGCGATCCTAAATTTAAAATCCCTGAACACTCATTTAGTGTACCGCAAGTTCAGGATGAGTACGCTCAAATCTATCCTGAAGGGAATAAGGCCTGGGACTTCCTAGCCTCAATCGACCTCTCCGAGGCGTACCTTCATATACCCATAGAGCCAGCTCACCGGCGGTACCTCAGGTTCAGCTACGCGGGGCGCCACCTACAATACCGGGCCCTTCCATTTGGCCTGGCATCGGCCCCACGCAGTTTCACCAAAATTCTGGCAGCCTTGGTAGCTCACCTGCGGTCCATACCGATTCGCATTCAGGCTTATCTGGACGATATTTTAATACAAGCCTCATCCTTAGACAGAGCCAGAACCAATGTATTTCTCACATTGCAAATATTACAGAATCATGGGTTTCTAGTCAACGAGCCCAAGAGTCAGTTGGTCCCTCAACAGCGCATAAATCATCTAGGTGCAGTCATAGACACGCAGGTGGGACAGGTGTTCCTCTCCCAGGAGAGGAAAGACAGCCTCAGGTATCTGATTCGGCATCTGTTACAAGATCCGACAGCTCCCAAGCTAGAATTGTCCCGTCTCCTGGGGAAACTAGCCTCATGCACAGACATAGTTCCCTGGGCCCGGCTTCATGCCCGCAGCCTTCAATGGCTGCTACTCCCCTATCAGCGGGCAAAGACAGCGGCCTCCAAATCCAAGATCAGGGTCCCCCTGTCAGTACGCCGGTC